CCCATGTTGGATCGGTCTGTGATAGTGTTCATTGATGACATCTTGGTTTATTCCAAGTCTTAGGAGCAGCACGAGGAGCACCTGAGAGAGGTGCTAGAGACGCTGAGTAAGGAGAGACTTTACGCGAAGTTCACCAAGTGCGAGTTCTGGTTGCGCGAGGTGCAGTTCCTTGGACACCTCGTTAACCAGAAGGGTATACTAGTGGATCCGGCCAAGATATAGGCCGTGATGCAGTGGGAGGTCCCGAGGTCTCCAACTGAGATTCGGAGCTTCCTGGGATTAGCAGGGTACTACAGGAGATTCATTCAGGATTTCTCCAAGATAGCAGTTCCGCTCACCCGACTGACCAAGAAGTCGGTGGTGTTTCGCTGGGGGCTTGAGCAGCAGGCAGCGTTTGAGACCCTCAGACAGAGATTGTGCGAGGCGCCGATTCTTACCCTGCCAGAGGGAGTAGAGGACTTTGTAGTCTACTGTGATGCTTCGATCACGGGGATGGGAACGGTTTTGATGCAGCGAGGCCATGTGATAGCTTACGCCTCTAGACAGTTGAAGCCTCACGAGGCTAACTATCCGACGCATGACTTGGAGTTGGGGGCAGTAGTGTTTGCTCTCAAGATTTTGAGACATTACCTCTATGGGGTCCGCTGTATCATCTACACGGATCACAAGAGTTTGAGGTACCTCATGGATCAGCCGAATCTGAACATTAAAAGACCAAGGGACCTCAGATCTGTCATTCCCATCTACTAGAGTTGCTAAACTCACAAATGGAGGTCCAAAATCCTCAAAAGGAACAAAACTAGAAAACCCTAGCTAGATCTAAAGACTTAAGTGGAAAGGTGCAAGCTTTTTACCTCCAGGAGCTTTGCAAGATGACCAATATGCAGATTCTTGAACCACCAACTCAAACCAAGCTTATTTAGCAACCTCTTCTTCTTGGAATGAACACTAAAAGGCCATAAATGCACTCTTTTAATTTCAAAAATGGTCTCACGGGTTTCTCTGGAGTGTAAGGACGTTCTAAAGCTGTGGAGGCTCTATAGGGTTAAGTCCAAGGTACTTAAGGTCGCTTAAATAGGCCTCAAGTCCGAAAATTTGGGTTTTGGACCCCTGGCACGTACGCCCAGCGTACGTCCAGTTCCTCCACGACCAACCATGCATAGTACGCTAAGCGTACTTAAAGGACCAATTATGCTGAAATGCAATTTCTTGAGGGTTTCAAGTCATACCAGATTTAGGGTGTTACACTTAGACTTAGCCTTTCTCTTTACTATCTGGTCAAACGGTTTGACCTTGGCCGATCCCTTTCCATTGGGAAGAGAATACTTTTCTGGACTTCTAATGTTTCCATTGTCAATGTCCATGGAAGTATGGGAAGTAGATCTTCCAATCAAATTTGCTTTACCGGTGCTCCAAATCATTGTTGATTTGGCAGCAATTAACAAATATGCAAGATCAATAAGGGCCACGTCGTGATCTGTCATATAGCAGTCTTTGACAAACTGACCATATGACTCGGGAAGGGACTTAAAAACCCAGTCAACAGCCAACTTCCTCGAGACAACGACTCCTAACATTCCCAGCCTGTCAATGTGCAACTTCATCTTCAAGACGTGAGCACACACATACTTTCCATCTTTGTGTTTACTTCCCACTAGGGCTTTAGTGATCTTGAACTTTTCAATTTGACGAACATATTGGTCAGGAAGAATAATTGGAGGAGGTGGAGGAAGTAAAGTATGATATTGAGGAATATCATCTTCATGCGGAAAGCCTTTTCCAAAAGATTCGGGAAGACCATAGTTGTCAGAACTAGACATCTACAAGGGAGAAATTCAAATTAGTTGATTTAAGTCCTTAATATAACACCCAAAATGAAATATTAAGGCTAGGACCCAACACAACATTCTACAATTCGGAAGAGGGGTGCCGTAATCCAATTGCAAAATATTTGAAGGTACAAAAAACGAAAATGAATATTAGGTTTTAAATGAATTGAAATTCCTAGATTCTTTTGAGATTCATTGAACTTTTCAATGGCATGTTTAATCTCGATTATGCCCTTCAAGTTTGTGACTGGGATACCGAGGATCACAAACAAGGTGTGAATAACCGTGCAAATTAGCTTGGTACTCTCGATGTCATTAATCACATAATAAATGTGTCGGTTAACCACACACGCTCCATTGATCAATGATAATTTACGAGAAACCCATTGCCATCCTTCATTAGTCCACATTAGTGTGTCGGTTAACCACACACGCTCCACTAACTGACCAATAAGGTGCAATGTGCAATTTCATGGATTAGCACCAAATTCACATTTTTCCTTAAGTAACTAAGATTAGGAATTTATAAAAGGTTTAGTTACTTTATATTTCATTATACTTTTAATGAGGATTTAAATGTCATGTCAAACCCATTCGGCTAACGACCCTCCACTGGTCAAGGGTGCGGTGGGTAAGAATGGATACCCAATGGCGGTTATTTTATAGGCCCCCTTCCTTAAACACCTCTTATAGACCAGCTTCATGAATGAGGCCTACTAACGGTAAGACTGACCCTTTTAACTTATACATATATAATAAATTATACTTTTAATGTTATATATTATAGGGGTGTATTTTATACATTTAAAATACTAGGTTGTTTAATCTATTAATTAAACTAGACTTTTAATTTAATTAAACTCAAACCATATAATTATGGATTTATTAATACTCTTTTAATTAATCTTTCAATTAAATATCAACAAAACCATAATTAAACTTTTAAGTCTAAATTTAAGTTATGAAGCCAACATGTTTAGAATTTAATATTTCACAATTAAAACTTTTAATCAAATTTTAAATTCCAAAACTTGAGGACAAGTTTTTGAAACTCTTCAAAACCTTTTAGATTCCTAAACTTGATGACAAGTTTTGTAACATTTCAATACTCTTGAATTCCATAACTTAAAGAGTTAATTTGTTTTATGAATGAGACTTTTCAAGTTCCATAACTTGAGGACAAGTTATGAAACTTATTCAAAAATATTTAGATCAAATTAACTAATATTTTTTTTGTAACTCCTTAAAAAACGTTTGAGTTCCAAAACTTGATGACAAGTTTTGTAACTCTTCAAAACATTTAGATCAAATTTTAAACTAATAAAATAATCATAATTTTATCTTTTACCAATTTGACCTAATCAAGTTCATATAGCAAGACAATTCAAATCAAAAATTACAAATAATTTAGCTTATCATATAAACTAACAATAATCTTAAAATTTTGACAATTATCTTTTAATTGGATGAGGATAATCATTACATTATCATAAAAACACAATTTTTATGAGTCAAAACAGTTTGTGGTAATGATCCTAGTCAAAAAACTGGCCAAAAACTCGAAAAATCTGCCAACCGACAGCCCAACTCGTCGAGTCCGGCTATGGACTCGTCGAGTTCATCTGCATGTGATCCAACTTGGCGAGTCCACTCATAGGACTCATCGAGTCCTCAAATGTTGCACAACACACCAAGAACAAAAGGAGGCTTGTGAGAGAGGTTATGAACCACCAAAATCGGCTAGGGTTCTCTTGGAATACTAGTGTCGATTTTGGCTAAGGGGTTATATATATATATATATATATATATATATATATATATATATATATATATATATACTAGTAGTGTACCCGAGCGATGCGGCGGCGGCAATTTGTTTCATTCCGGCGATGAGTTTCCGAACGGAAGTTAGTGTGATTTCGGCGGTCATCAAATTGTTTCCTTTCGATTTTTTTATTCTAGCGATTTGTTGCTTTCGGCAATCAGTTGTCTCTAGACGTGCAGTAAATAATATTTTTTGTATATTACTTTCTATCTGACGGCGGATGACGATTAGTTTCATTTAACAAATAATGTTATGATGATGATAAATTTCTCATTTATTTGTTTCATTTCGAATTCAAAAGGTAAAATTATGTTATGTTAATATAAAAATATTAAACTACATTTAAAATAAAATATGTCATATTTTTTGTGTGACTATAAATATGTGAAAAGTTAAATATTAAATTATATATTATTTTTTTTTTTCATTCTTTTGAGTTTTGTAATGCAGCGTTGACAAATAGTTTCTTTCATCGATTAGTTTTATTTTGGTAGCCTTTTTTTAGGAATAGTTTTATTTTATGCAATTAGTTTTAATTTCAATAGGGAACACATCATCTCTTTTTGGCAAATATTTTATTCTCAACATTAGTTTACATTTTCAAAACATGTCTTAGTTTGTAGTACAAATGAAAATAATAACCCAAAAAAATCAAGTCGGATCTGAATTAAACAAATAATTTTTAAAATAGATGGTGCAATTTCTAATTTTTTTTAAACGGATATAAATGTTTTCACTTTCGCATATTATATGAAACCTACACAACATTAACACAACCACTACCTTTAACTAAAAATATATAAATTACAAATATATATGTTTAAAATGCGGCAAATGGAGGGTGCAGTGAATAATTAAGTACCATAATATCAATTTATAGTTATATTGTATGTAAAAGTTTATTCAAAATTAAAGCTATATGATGTTATATATTACTAATTTACATTTATTTGAAAAAATTATAATTAAAATTTACGATGAAAAATTATGTTTAAAGATCAAATTCGCCATCAAATTTACGACCAGTCACACGCAATATAATGGACTAAATTCAAGTAATACAATTTGAAGAGTCTTAACCACTAATATTCTAATACAAACTTTAATGTATAAATTAATCATACTCTATCCAAGACTTTTAACAATTATATAAGTAAATAAATTTTTGATGACTTTTAAACAGTAAATAAAATAATGAAACTTGTGTAATTAACATGATATGAACATTGATATTGAATACATGTGTAATTAACAGGATATGAACACTGAAAAGCAAAATAAAATTAGACCTTTTGAGCATTGCTAACAGGTAACTAATCCTTGCATTTGGTTTAAAAGAAATAAAGTCAAAGGTTATTTATATGAAGAAGATGATAGTTTACTGCCTCTAATTTCTCATATTGTACAGCTGCCATTGACTTTTCAACTTTGTGATCAACCTCAAAATTCATATTCTTTAGTTCTTTATCTTTATTCCATAACATCAAATTCTCATTTTCTCCAGAACCTTCACTTTCCTCTATTTTCTTTTGTCTGCCACAACAGTATTTGTTCATCACAAACCCAAAAAAGAAATCTAACCATGGCAGCACCTGTATACATGTTAGATATATAAAATATTTCAAACAAAAAAGAGAGATAATAAACTTCCCTATATATCATGATATAATTGGACTTGTGCAAAATCAAGAACAACAATACAAACATTGCAATAAAAACAACCGGTCTAGTTAAACAGTAGAAATAGACCATCATCCTGTATTTCATAATCACTAAACATAAACCTACATGTTTGAATTTGTAACAAACAATTTTTGTTAGCAAATCTATAAGGAACAGGGTACAAAACAGATTACCAACCATTTTGGGTTTGAATACAAACAAAAATCCTCTTAATGTACAAACTTTTGCAATTTTAGGCAAATTCTATGACAAATTCTCATATACAGTAGTTTTACAATGAATGTTCTTGAGCTTAGTGGCTTCTTTATAGTCTTTTCATAGTTCCATTATTCTCCTGGTAAAAATGAGAATGCTCTCATTTACGACATACTTGCTATAAATGACCAAGTAAACATATTTCTTCTAGACATTTCATCGAGCACATATGGGGCACATCAATAAAACCATAGATAAAAACCAGAGAACTAAAATAAGAATCATCCAAAATTGAAACCAATTGAAAAAACCAAATGACTGGAACACTATAACTATAATCCACTTTAAAAATGTTATACTTTGGAAAGAAAAAAAAATTAGATCATCTATTACATCTAATTCTTGCTGAAGAACTCGAATCCTTAACAGAGGGATAACTTTGGTGTTAACCTTTCTATGTTCTTTAACCCCACATACGATTGAAACTTTTGCATTTTCCCTCCAGCGGTACAAAATTACGATGGTGGGTTATGAAGGGTTGCTACATCAAGACTTGTGGGTGGTGGTAGAAGTGTATGTGCATAGAGGATTATAAGGAAAAGATGAGCGATGTTGGTGGTTCATATGTAAGGTGGTGATGGAATATGGTGGTGCAAAGATGGATGTTGATTATAATGGAGGAGTGGCTGTAAAAGGATTTAAGGATTTCCAGAGAAATCAATAGAGCAAGGTTTTGAGAGAATGGGAACAAAGGTTGGGAGGTAATCTGATTTTAAAGGGGAGGGAACGGAAGAGAACTGGAGTACTTAGGAGACGAAGGGCTCGATCCGTGTGAATTGTATTTGGAACCATTAGATTGTAATGGAAATCGACGGGTATTGATATAAATTTGGCGATCCGTGTGTCATACAATTGTCAATCCCCCCTATCACTCAAACAAATTCCACATATGCATATATCTGTAGTAAGTTGAGTATAAAATATTGTAATTTATGTATATTAACTTGCACCTCTTAGAGTATGATCTTAATTTTAAGACATTTATGCATTCCATGCTTTATAAAATGGTATATATATATATATATATATATATATATATATATATATATATATATATATATATATATGTGTGTGTGTGTGTGTGTAGAATTCCAAGGGTCACTTGTAAACCCTAATCCATACACTTAGCTTATGATCCAACAATTCATATGGAATAACTCTTTATGGATTCTCACATAAACTTAGCCCATCGTGGATCAATAGCCCAAACCATATGTATCACTGATTAACATAATCAGTCCCTGTATATTTAATCAGTCTCTTTTGATCACTAAATTAATTTCAAATTAAATCTTGATCAATACTAATTAAATAATATGATTTCTCAATTAATATATTATTCTTATAATATATTAATTAAGCACAAATAACCTCTTTCTCAAATATTCATCCTATTAAATTGTTCGAGTGAATTGCAACCCAAATGGACCATGATACTTTCGGGTCAAGTACATACCAATTATAGTTATGGGCTTAGACACCTAATCCAACAGTCATCACCAAACATCAGCGTGAAATGGATAATAACATTAATTATATGTCAAAATCCTGAATTGCAGATACTAATTCAAGCTTCAACATTATCAGAAGAAGTGAATATGAAATTAGATCAGATAAAGATATAACTAGACGCTAAAGACGTATAACAATAACCTGAAAATGCGACGAGATTGGGGCTTTTGAGTGCGGATGCGGAAGGGAGAATGTGTTGCACCGGTAGAACTAGGTTTAGCACCGGAGGAGATTCTACTCACCGATGATTTGACGGAGGTGGAGGCCGAGCGGAGGATGGACCTAGCTGCGACGGCTTCCACCATATAAAACCCTTTTGTTCTTATTTTGGTTGGGTTCGTTTGGGAAGAGTGGTGGATTGAGGGATCTATAAAGTGTTTGGAATTTAGCTTTTTTTCAATAACTCATATACAAGGCTCACAAGGGACATCATTTTTTTTTCAGCAACTACTTGAGTGTCACGTCACTTTTACATATACAAGGCTCACAAGGGACATCATTTTTTTCAGCAGCCACTTGAGTGTCATGTCAATTTTACTATAGGAGATGAGAGATGTATGATCAGTGGCAAATCCATAATAGAATAGCACATGGTTCCTAATGTGCAAAAAAATACCTACTAGTTTTAAATTTATAACCTAACTAACTTAACTAACTAATATGCACCTAGGCAGTGTACCTAGTCGGATTGTAGTGTAGTTTAAGTAAGTTGGGGTGGAACAGGGAACATATTTAATTAGCTAAAATAATTACTCTAAATTAATCTAAAATCAAACAATAATTAAAAAGGTTTTTATCTAATTTTGCAAGTCTAGAGAAACTTAATTACTAAACAAAGGTTCAATCAATTACTAAAAACACTCCCGTTTAGTTCGAATCCACTTCTTCTTTATGGTTAGCTAACAATTATGGATTATCAAAGTTGGTTACCTAATATTATATTATTAGTAATTTAAGTCCAAATTTATTAATATTTAACTAATTCATATAAAACTATGCATGGTCACACACAATCAAACACAGAATCAGTTATGGATTATGAATAGGCTATGTAAGATTCATTATGCAAACATAATTATGGTCATAATTTATGTTCTCCAACACAGCTAAATTCAATTACTTCAATCACTTATCTAAGATTGGGTTGATCCTAACTCTAGCAATTCAATATTCACTAAATCACTAGGTGTCAAGTTCATGTAATTTAATAATCACTAAGCTACACAGATCATGAATTCAAGCAACTAAACAACCAAATACTAGCATGCTGGGTATTAACAATCAAACACAAGCACAATACCAACAAGTCAAATCCATAATTAAGTAAACTAATCCATAAGTTGAAGCTTCATCTAGCTAAACATGAGTAGCTAAATTCAGCTACTTATGGTAGAAATCAAACACAACAACTCAAGAGAGATAAATCTAAACATGATCAAACCGAGTAAATTAATGTTTTCTTCTAGATCTCTTCAAATCTTGAGCTCCAATCGTTTCCTCCTCTTATAAGGGCTTTCCAGAGGTTATTTTTCGTAATGCTTCTCAAAAAAGTCACTTCCAAGTCTCTCAATTCGTCATAATGTTCAGATATATATACTTGCCTAAAATATGGCCACCATGACGTGGTGGGATCACCACGTCGTGGTGGTTGGAAATCCAACTTTTCTCAAAAGACGAAAGTCGTCCGAAATTGTATCTAGTTTTCAGATCATTTTGAACCACCTTAATCGGAGTTACGAATCATGAGATATGGTCAAAATATTGATGAGGGTTCAAGTTGTCTAGCAACATCCTTATTGTGTCTTCTTCTTGTCTAAGCTCGTATTTTCCTGCTTCCAACTTCCATATTGCTCCCGCAAATGTCTTTATGCTACATAACAGATATTAAGCATAATAAGTACCTTTTGTTCTAGAATAAGCATAAATATAACATAAAATATTAAGATATGATGTAAAATATATATGTAGATATGCACATATCAGTTCCTAATTAAGTGAAGGCGGAAACACCAAAGAGTCAACGTTATATGTGACAGATCGGGTCGGGTCGAACCAATAAAAAAACAACCGGTTTGTAAAAACTCGAATTCAACCGACCGATAGAACAACTAAAAACTAGTAAAATTAGTCTACTTCACCCTAAAACCTAACTTTTGCAACAACAAAAAAAAAACCTACTTTGCACGACCGAGTCTTTTTTCTTTTTAAATAGTTCATTTGCAACAATTATTTTGTAGAACCAACAATATGAGAGGAGTTGTGTTATTTCTAAAAGGGTAAATTACACGAATCGTCTCTTGTGTAGGTGTAAAAAGTCATGTTCAGTCTCTATTTTTAAAAATTAACTTGTATCGTCCCTGGGTTGCCATTTTCTTGTGCAGTTAGTCCCTATTGTCGTTAGTCGTTAGTGGTTGTCGTTAAAATGCCCCATGTGCCTTGCATGCAGGGGTATTTTTGTCTTTTCAAGTCAAATACCCTTGTAAGGTCACACCTTATGATCTTATGAATCAAACACATCACACGCTGATCTATCAGTGTCAGCTTCTACACGTCGACAGCGCAAGAGTATCAAGTTTACCAGCGTCAGCACTTAGTATAGTCATCCGTTTGTAATCTTTGTATATTAGTTAATGATATAGATAAGTATAGAATAGATCACAGATCTAATATCTTTACGATAAGATCAGTTCTTAGAATAGATTAGATAAAATCCCGTCAGTCATGGGATATACATGTATAGATTAGTATATATACAACATTAGGGTAAACCCTAATGTTGTGGGTGGAACACGGCTGTGTGTCAATCGTCTTTGTGACAAACCCATCTTCTTGGTGAAGACAAAACCTCTTTTCTTAGTGAAAGGAACAATTTGGAGAACTTTTGTGTTATTTACTTTCTATTGATTATTTTTCTTGGCTTAGTTTTATGTTTCTTATTCATATTTCAAGTGTATCCGATCATCACAAACCTTCAATTGGTATCAGAGCAGGTTTGTGATACACTCAAGTAATCATGTCGACCTCTTTCGTTTCTAAGTCGTCTGTCTGTAACAAGATCCCTCTGTTTGACGAAAACAACTTCTCTGATTGGAAATCAAAGGCCATGAAAGTTCTGGTGTTCATGGATTTTAATATGCTCGACGTCTTCAAGAAAGGTCTTATAGCTGCTATGCATCAATCATCCAATAATGGTACGTCTGGAAGTAAGATGAAAGTGAAATTTGTTCCATGTTATAACAAGGAAGAGAAAAGGATGTTGAATCTCGATGTAAAGGCTAGGATTGCTATTGGAAACTTACTCCTTTTTTCTGTCTATCGTTTGGACCAAAACTGCTTAAATGCTCAAGAGATGATGACCACTCTATAATGTGCTTTTGAAAACGAAAACTCTGCAGACAATGAAGCTAAGTGTCTCATGGCTCATGTTGTTGAATATCATGCTGACACTTCACATGACAACGTTGGGATCCTTAACACTGATTCTCCTTACACTGCTGATGACCTCAAGTCAAATTGGGACAATGTATTAGCGTATCAGGTAAAAAAATCATGTTAATATTTCCTCTATTGATAATATAAAAAAGATGACACGGTTGATCTCTTACGTTTCAAGTTATTGATCTGAAATAAAGAAAAATCTTCTTTCAGTCATGAGCTAAAGATTCTCATAGAAAAACTCCTTTCTCTAGAAAAATCTCTTTCTGTTTTAAAAAAGGAAAACACTTATATCTCGCTTACCAATAATTTTCTTGACACTGCAAAAGGAAAAAGTTGTTGTTCATGCTAATCGCACTCAACTTATTTTGAATTTATGGGCATCCTCTCACTTTAATGTCACAAGAATCATTAATGCTCAGATTCCAAATCAGTGTAAGAAAATTCTTGGAGGTGATATAGAAGGTGTTGTTTCTTTAAACAAAGTCGAAACTAAAGAAACCTTTTATAAAGCTGACTGCTTAAAAGAAGACTTCAAAAGTAGATTTGTGAGTTCTTACTTTATAAATCAAACTTTAATTAATACTCACTGCTCTGTTGATTCTAATGGCATTACTAAATGTGGTACTAAATTATCTACTCTTGATCCTTCTCTCCAACCTTCTCATCGTAAGTATGTTCTTCCCTCCACTAAGACTTTACTAAATTTTCCTATATGTAATGGTGAAGTTCATTATGTAAACGAAATTCTTAGCATGTTTTCTCAGTGCTCAGTTAGCAATTCTGAAACTGAAGATCAATCAAAGCCTTCTACTCCTTATAACTCTTCAAAGGATCATGAGTCTCATGACAATGTAGTATATGAGCATACCATTGATAACATTCCTTGTTCCAGAGCTAAATCTCTTAAATCAAATAATCAAAGTTCTTCAGATTCAGCAGTTGAAAAGTAATCAAAATCTAATTTTAAAGGAAAGAATCCTGGAATTAAAGTTTGTTATCGATGTGGTGATGCCTCTCACAAAGTCAGCGAACGCACTTTTGAAAAGAACACCGTTCGCGCTGATAATATCATAACTCGAAAGGATAAGTAGATCAAAATTGAAAACTTGTTGAATTGTCTCCCTGATGAGTGTTATAACATCTTTTCATAGTGATCCTTTGTAAGTGGGTCAGTGTATATTCAGTGTATATTTAGTGTATATTTTTTGGACTTACTATACATCTTAGTTTCAGGGTTAAGAGCATATTTGGTATTTAGACAGTGGCTGCTCAAGACATATGATAGGTTTCAAGTCTCTTGAAAAATTTCATAAAGAAGGATGGCTCGTCAGTCACTTATGGAGATAATGGCAAGGGAGCTACAAAGGCATTTGGATCCATCAAGTGCAATTATGTTGTTTTCAAGAATATATCTTATGTTAAAGGTCTTCAGCATAATCTCATTTCTATCAGTCAACTGTTTGACGCTGGCTATGAAGTTCTCTTCAACAAGAAAAAAGGAAAAGTTGTTGATCAAAAGAACATCATTGTTCTTACTGCAAATCGACAAAATGTTATCTATGTTCTGGATATGTTTTTTGATGACATCTCACTTCGTCATTTCTTCATCTCTCGTGCTCAGACTCTTCTAAATTGGTTGTGGCACAAAAAGCTATCGCATCTTAACTTCAAGAACATCTCAAGGATTATAGGGAATTAGCTTCTGAGAGGAATTCCTAAGATGTAATTTGTCAAGGACAAATTATGCTCAGCGTGTGAAAAAGGGAAGAAACCCAAGTCTTCGTTCAAGCCAATGTCCCGTTCTTCAATCATTAAACCTCTTCATCTCCTTCATATGGACCTTTTTGGACCAGTTCTGATCAAGTCAAGAGCTGGGAAGAAATATACTCTTGTCACTGTGGATGAATTTTCAAGGTTTACATGGGTAGTCTTTTTAAGAAAG